AGCGTGCTGAGTGAGGTTGATTGCTTCGAGAGCATGAGCATATGAGCTTATCACTGTTATGCATTACACTTGACATGCACACTTGGCATGTAGGCATAGAGATGCATTTCCTCATGTTGTACGGTATTGTGACATTCATGACTTTACATGCACATTGACATGTAGGTATAGAAATGTACTTTCCTCATGCCATCTGATTATGAAACATCCTATCTGTTATTGAAAATTTTTGGGAAAAATCACAATTTTCTAACTTACTCATATTTTGGTGATCTTGGTGAAAGACTTGAATTTTACTGTTATACCTAAAAGCATGCCTATTTTCCGTATCTGTGAACGAGTTGAGCATCATATCTTTGAGTTATTACTTGTACTATTTTTATTATATTGTTACAAGTTGCTTGGCTATTGGTGTTGGACTCTGACCGTGGTCCAAGCTCGTCACAACTTTCAACCTAATGTTAGGTTTGTTACTTATTGAGTACATATGGTCGGTTGTACGCATACTACACTTCTGCACCTTGCGTTTAGATTTTGGAGTTGATGTGCTGTATATGGCGGGAGCTGGCATTGAAGATGAACCTGCATTCCAGTTATAACTGCCTCTTATTCATGGTAACTTTAGATTTATAAAGATCTATTTATATACATTTCAGACAGATGATGTATTTATTTCATACTAGTTTTGTAAACTCTAAATCTTAGAATCTTATAACTTGTACTACTAGTCCTTAGAAAGTTGTATAAGAGTCCAGTTATTTCATCATTTATTTTCTCTGTAAATCTCGTTTGTATTGGATTGTTGCTAATTGGCTTACCTAGCAGGTTGAGTTAGATGCCATCACGACTAGTTGAATTTTGGGTCGTGACACATAATGTATATGTTATTCCACCAACAGTCAAAAAGGTGTCAGGCAGGCCTAAGAGAGTTATCAGAAAATGGCAAACTGATAACAAGATAGGTAAGCTATCTAGGAGAGGGCTGGAGATGACATATAAAGCATGTAATGAGAAAGGTCATAACAAGAGAGGGTGTCATAAGACCAAGACAACAACTTCTAATCATATACCAAGTGCAGCACCAATTGACATTTTTATACCAAGTGCAGGACCAAGTAGTAGTTCTAAGTCTACTGCAGCACCAAAAACTAAAAGAGGAAGGGGTAGACCAAAAGGTTATACCATTAAGGCAAGACCCTATAAAAGACCAAAAATGGGAAGCAAACATAAAGTGGCTTTACCATCCATAATGTAAGTCCTATTATCACCTTTTGTATAACAAATAAATGGTACTATTTGTTTAGACTAACCAAGTTTACCTTTCTTTAACAGCCTGAATTGCCTTCAATTAGGCCCAGAAATATTATATCTTCAGTAGATATCACTGGAGATATTGGGCACACACCATCAGCTGGAGTGAACTAGAAAGGAAAAACATCTACGATACGAGGAAACAAGGTCATTCTGACAAGGTCAAAGGCTGCATAGTTAAAGTCAAGGAAGCTCCACAGAACATTCCTCACATCCTTGGAAGCCCTAGGAATATCTTGTGTACTTGGTAGATTATTTTGATCTTTTATAATGTATGGTTACGTAGAGTAGTTACTCTTTTGTATTAGCAACAATAACTGCAAATTTATATTTTATTTATGCAGTTGTGACCGCAATGATACACTCTTTTATGTTAGTAGTTGTGACTGCAATTATGCGCTCTTTTGTGTTAGCAATTGTGACTGCAATTATTCACTTCTTTATGCAACTGTGACTGCAATGCTTGGAACAACTGCTATTTTTATGGTGATTACTGTATCTAATGAATGGTGTTATTAAGGAACATCAATGACTGCATTTTAATAGTAATTATTGACTGCAATTATGCACTCTTTTCTTTTATGAGTTGTGACTACATATTAAGTTTCTTTCAATATAATTCTGGGGTTCAATATGCTTGCACAAAATAATTTAGAATCAAAACAAGCACCAACTTCATCCCAAAAACCATAAATATTATACAAAAAGATTCACCAATATTGAATACAATTAATCATACACCATCAAGGTTCAACAATGGTACCAAATGGATAAGAGAAACAAAGAGCCTATGACAACTTTATTTCATCATACTTCAAATACAATACTTGAAACCTAGTACTAGTGCCGATAATAACACAATATAAAATAATAACCCAATGAACATTCTCCCTTTCCCTTGATCGAGCAACTTTGCTCCTCATTTTCTTATCTTTTTCTTCCATCTTCTTAATTTTAGTTTCCAAGTAATCTAGTTGAATGCCTATCTTATCTTTGCTGCCATCAGATTGTTAAAAAAATTCAAAAGCTTCAACTTGATTCTCAAGTTTTCCAATCTCTTCTTTCAGTTTAGAAATAACAAACCTTGATGTAGGGTCAATTTCTCCATCCCTCAAACGTCAAAAATCACATGCTCTAGCAGCATATGATGAATAACAATAAAATTTATATTTAAGAGTTGAGTTCTTCTTATCTTAACTCATTTAATCTTTAAAATTAAATCAACTTACCCCATAGAATGGACAAAGCCCAATACCTTATACCAGGATTCCTAAGGGTCCAAGAAGCCAATAATGACAGCAAATATTCATGATTACATCGCACTTCTTCGGTAGATGCATGTTCATCCTCTAACATACAAAGCCTGCTCAACCTTTTCGAAGGCATTGTGGCCTTTACTGCAGTTTCCAAATAAAAGAAAAAGACAGAAATTTAGTAAAGACAGACTGAATTTGACTAAAATCACCAAACATTACCTACATTTGCCTTCAAAAATCGAATCTTGAACGTCACTTGTCGGTAATTTGATATAAAATAAATTAGAATTATTGAGATTGATATGGTGGAAGAAGAAGTAGGGTGGGTCGAGTATTAAATTGGAGGTAAGGGAAATATATTACCGCTGGAGTTGTAATTAAAGCTGACAATTTTATTTTATTTTATTTTTTTATTTTCATGATTATACAATAACAATAAACGCGCCCATTTGTAGTTACGCACAATGCGCCCGAGAGATGGCTTACAAGAGTGCAAAAAAAAAAAAAAATCGTTCCTAACAAGTATAGGATGGTATTGGAACACACGTAAAAGTTGTGTATGAAACTCATTTTTTGGGACAAGTTCGAGATGCATATTTTTTATTATCTCTTTAATAAATAGTAACGTTGAGCACGTTAAACTAAGTTTCCACGAGAATAAAACTTCCCTCCAGTAAAGAAGTAGGTTAATATTGGTTCCTAATGAGGTTAAACTTGGTTCCCAATCAATATATAACTTGGATATTAATTTTTATACAAGCTTATTCAAAAATATCACACAAAATTTAAATAGATGATCTAAAGTAATTTTTGAATATCATTTACGGTTTTACAAAAAAAAGAGCTTCATGTTAACATATTATATTCAACATTTCACATAAAATAATTCACAGTTTGATTGTTACATCGCGCAAATAATATACTTATATAAAATTTAAGAGTTTAATTTTATGTACTAATATGAGATTTTTAGTGGACACATAAGAGACCTAAATAGGTAATTTTCTTCTATTCAAATTTTAAGTAGTCATATGAAATCATTTCATCTATTTAATAGTTTAACTTCTTACGTTATCACATTAAACTATAATAATATATAATTTTTCTGTTCCAATTTATATGATATTATTTAAAAAAATAATTGGTTTTAAACTTCTTATATTGCCCTTAACAAGATGACTCATGATCACACACATGTTTATGTCCAGAAGTCTCTTTTCCCTCTTAAACTTGTTATCCAATTAAATAATATCTCACAATATGATGTGAGACTGAGATAGTAATTGTTTGTAATAAATAAAATTTGATAATCTAAAAAATAAAGTAAATAACATACTCTTTACACTGTTTTGTATATAATAAGTTAATGGAAATTTTAATTTTAGCACATTATGAAACTTAAAGGCGGAATACATAGACAACCCCTTAAACTAGTTTATATTTTTCATTTAGACACTTTAACTGAGACAATGACCTATTGGACACCTGAACTATATTCAAATGTGTCAATTAAACACAAGTTGAACATTCTATAAACAAACAAGAGCGTGTGCAAACACGCATTTAACGTGACAAATGCAACCAATAAAAAAAATGACATGTCAATACATCCTCACTTTTTTCTCTATCTCCCCGTCTGTTCCCTAATCTCTCTCAGATAAGACACATTACTGCTCATCCCTTCTAATTCTTCTTAACCTTCATCCTTTTCGCATTTTTATCTCCAAAAAATCGTAGAGGGCTATCAGATGTTGGTTAGGACAAAGAGGTACAGAAAAGTAGACGAAGATTTGGCCGGAAAAAGACGGCGAATTCTTTTTTCGACTAGAGAAATTTAAATTATTAAAATACACAGTTCCCAGAGATTTGACTAATTATCCACCGTCGATGTCTTTCTTAACAATTGCTTCAATTATTTTCTAATGAATGGTAGTAATCGGATAAGAACATAATATGCATCTCTTAAGAACTTATCACTCGCTGTTGGAGTCAGATTATGCGGCGAAACATGACTTGTGAACCTGGGCTGAGTGTTTTGGGTGATTCTTGTTGTTTATCATGTTCCTTTTTTAAAAAAAAATTTCCCTGTTTGCACTCATTGTGGCTTGCAGAAAAACGGATCTTGCGGGATAGATTGGGTTCCGGCCAAAAATATTTTCTCATTTATCGTCTATTCTATCACTTTACTTTTCTTTAGTTTTTCAGATTTTTCCAGTCGCAAAGACTTTATTTGTTTGGGAACGTCAAAAATGTCATCCATTCCGCACCTAACTTTGGGTGTGAAACACATGCGATGACAGGTAAGCAATGAGTGTCTAATAGGTACACTTCCAATAGAGTTTAGGGTTCGATAGGTCATTGTCTAAGTTGGAGTGCCTAGATAGAAAATTTGGACTAGTTAGGGGCTATTTATGTATTCTGCCAAAATTAAAAGGAGCAATTTGTAATTGTGGTCATATCTCAAGGATGTTCTGAAATTTATCTTATCCCAAAGGACCAACATGAGAAAAAGAAGTGGGAAATATCTTTTGCAAACCACAGCAAAACCCAACAAAACCATGGTGGCAGTTGCTTCACAGTGAGAGCAGAGAACCAAAACAAGATGTTTATCACTCATCTTCCTAAACTCCATTCCCACTTCTCCATTTTCTGCCCAAAACCCAAGATTCTCATCACCTCCACACTCTTATCCAAATCCAAAACAACCCCATTTTCCCATTTTTCATCAGTTACAGCAGCAGCCAACACACTCCTCCAAAGCCCAGATTCACAAACCAAGAATTTGGAACTTGAAGATGCTCAAGAACAAAATACCCACATAGAAATTTCAGTTGAAAAGCTATTTGTTCCACCTGATACTGATATTTCTTCTGGTTCAAGGCCCTTGAGTGCTAGGATTTTAAAAGGGTCAAATATTGTGCTCAGCAAATATGCTGGGGATGCTCAAGTGGAGCAAGCTGAGTTTGTGAAGAGCAGTGTGGAGACTGAGGAATGTCCCTCTGATGGAAAGCCTGAGTTTGCTCTTGTTGGGAGGTCCAATGTGGGCAAATCTTCTTTGCTTAACTCGCTTGTGAAGCGTAAAAGGCTTGCTCTTACTTCCAAGAAACCAGGTTTTCATACGTTCTTTGCTTGAAACCTTTTGTAAAATGGCTGTAAATTCGATAACGTGTGATTCTTGATTGTAGAAAAGATGTGATCTTTGAGGGTTCTTTGGTTCATTAAAAATAATTTTTCCGAGTATAGCTAAGATATTAGGTTTCACTTGATAGAGAAATTTCTGATTTCATTGTTGATTACACATTTACATGTATGTGTGGCTTCAGCATTATGGTTAAAACTTTTGTAGAATGACTATTAATTTGATGAAGTGTGATTCTTGATTGTAGAAAAGATGTGAGTTTTGAGGGTGCCTTGGTTCATTAAAGATAGATTTTTGAGTATAGCTAAAATAGTAGGTCTCAGTTGATGGAAAGTTGACAGAACCATCAAGAAGATGTGGTAGTTGATCCCGGCAAGTATATTTTGGTGTATTTGGACAGAAAAGAATCGCAAATGCTTTGATGGCATATCAAGTCCCTGAAAGCAAAGTGCCTTAGGAATCTATATAACTGGAGCAACCTTTCCCCCCGTAAATGAATGAATTCCATTTCTAGATTTTATTAGCTCTTTGACTTTGGCTTGATTGCCAACCTTAGGTTTTTGGTGCTTTTGGTTAGCTTCCTGACTAGAACTGTATTTTTGTGTAATGAAGCTAACCAACCTCTTTTGTAAAGTTTTTGCATTTTCTTGATGCCAGTAATACAACATCTTACTTCATCAAAAAAGATCTTCACTTGATGTTGACAGAAATTTTGGAACTTTTCATAATTGATTACATGTTTGTGTGGCTTCAGCATTATGATTAACTTCTCATAAGGTAAAATTTGTATGGATTACGAATCATATAGACTTTCGAAAACTTAATAAGGTAACAGGGGTAGCAGTAAGGATTGGGATAACATAAAGAAGAACAAATCAATTAAAGTGGCTATCAACAAGTTCAAAGCAATTAAATTATTTGAAAGCGAGCTTGGGGAAGATATGAACACCTTAGTTAAAGGGATTCCAGGCGACCATCAAATCTTTATTAAGGGAGATCTAAAAGGTCATGTCGATAAAGATAGTTGTCAACTATGTTGCTCGGACTCTCTGAAAATATCGATGGATAAGTGTCGGATCCTCCATAAATAGTGTATTTTTGGAGGATCCGACACGGGTGCGGGCAACTGTTTTGGAGAGTCCGTGCAACATAGGTTGTCGAAGAGACAATTAAGTAAATAAAGTGTGCTCTCTCTAGTAGTATAAGCTTTTAGATGATATGGTCATACACTTCAACCTGGTATGAGAGCAGGCAGAGGTCTGGGATTCGAGTCTCACCGCCGCCATTATAATAAATGACTTTTCATGTGCTTGGCAAATGCAAAAAATGAATGAAGCCGGCACATGGGGGGCGTGCTTTAAGAGACAATTAAGTAAATAAAGTGTGCTTTTTCTAATAGCTTATGCTTTTAGATGAGATAGTCACACTTCAACAATAATGACCAAGTACACGAGATATGGTTATGGCATTAGGAACGATGAAGGAAAGGCTATCCTAAAGTTCGCTTTAGCTTATGATTTTTTGTAACTAACACATAATTTAACCAAAAAAAAAAATATTCGCCCCTAAACATTTAGAGTTAGGTTAACCATAGTCAAAATGGCTTTATTCTTAACCGAAGACGTTATAGTGTTATAATTCTGTATTGCTGTAATAAACAATTAAACTTTTTGGAAAAACAAAACAAAAAGTTAGTAATACTTGTTTAACGAAATAAATTCTGGAAAAAACAGTATAGGAATAAATCGAG